CTGCTTAAAAAGTAACTAACTCCACACAAGAAACTACCTTTTTTTTTTTTTTTTTCATGACTCAACAGTGTGGGCAAGTGAGCGTTGGAGACTGCCGACCTCACATGGAGACTTTGGTTCCTTTTTCTACCCTCCCTGCAGGGGCATGTTGCAGAGAGCTGCAACCTGACCCCAGACAAAGTCAGCATCTGGTTGTGTCCCACTGAGGCTGGAGTACAACTCCAACAGGGAGGAGAAGATTGCCTGGACAGAAGCTCAGCTCACTGACACCGTGAAAAGATGGTTAACCAAGGTGAAGGATGGCTCATAGATATGAACATGCAGGGGGGTGTCAGAGAACCTCTCTCAGAGGTCATCACAAATGTAGAGAACCAACCATACAAATGGTGGTAGAGGGAGGGAGAGTCCTGCAAACCCAGAAGGATGAGGCAAAAGGACCAGGGCAACAGGGCGTGGCTGCACCTTGAGCAGGCTCCTCTCTTAGGCCTAGGGAGGCACACAGGCAGCTGGAGAGATGCTCATAGCATCCCAGTCCTGACCAATGTGCCACAAAGTGTGGCAAGCAGCCACTACCCAGAGAAGTCAAGGGAGGGTGCTCTGTGGTTCTGGGAATGTCACTGCAGCAGCGTGTCCAGCATAGAGCTTTGGCAGTGACTGAGTCACATACAGAGAGCTTTACTATTTCCCCCAGTCTCAGACCTCTTCTAAGCAGCAGCAGAATGAGTTCTTAGAGTCTTGGGTTTGAGGGAGCATATGAGCTTCTTTACTCTGCTGCTAGACACTGTGGAAAGAGGCTGAAACACATCCACATAACCCCTGCCCTTCTCTCCCGACTTGGGAGTCCCAAACATCCGCTAGATCTGCTCTTCATAATAGTGACCCATGTTACTCATCTGCCAGCTGACACATTCAGCAATTGTGTTCTGAGTGCCTGTTATGTGCCAGACATTATGGGATATCAGTTACATACAGCCTGAATCCTAGCTCTAACCTTAACCTGACCCTCCCTGCTTATTATTTTAGTGGGGAGGATGTGACACACACGTGGAAAAAACAGAGGCAACAAGAAGATAGAATTAGGGGCTGGGGATGTGGCTCAAGTGGTAGCACGCTCATCTGACATGCGTGCGGCCTGGGTTCGATCCTCAGCACCACATACAAACAAAAGATGTTGTGTCCGCCGAAAACTAAGAAATAAATATTAAAATTCTCTCTCTCTCTCTAAAAAAAAAAAGATAGAATTACACAACAGAAACCTAAGATAGGTTCATATGTGCTGTCAGGCTTTCGTTTTTGTTTTTTTTTTTTGCTTTGTTGGTGGAGGGTGGGGATTGGGCCTGCAGGTTTCATCAGGAACTGTCCAAGTGCTGAAACAGGTGGCACTTGCTAAACTTGTTGAAGTGACACAGTATTGTACAGCCTTTTTGCCTTCTCACCAAAGCTACTTACTGCCATTCTTTTTAAAAGTCTTCCCTATTCAGAAGGATAATTAACATTTTTGAAGTTTGCAAAGAAATGTGCAGATGTACATTAACCTCAGCTACTGTGCTACATCGTTCGGAGCACATAGGTCTGTCTACAGCATACTTACCACTTATCACAGAGACATACACAGAACCATGGGAACAGCCCCAGGAGGAAGATAATGGAGAGGTAGAGCAAGTCACATTCCGGTTGGTGCTGCTGTAGGCTTCTCATTAGACCTAACAGGGCAGAGTGATTATCGTTCAATAGCTTCTTAAGAGCTATTCAGATAGTGGAGCCCAAGGAAGATGTTCTGTGACCACAATGCGACAGCCAGCCCACCCCAACCCCTTACTTACAAAATAATCTATGGACAGTTGTAAACCCCAGAAACAATGATGGCAAAACTGGATTCCTTCTGAAATTCTGAGTGTCTCCATGCATCTCATATTTTAAGAAGGAAATAACCTGTTTTGATTTTTATTAACATAAAACCCCTTTTCCCTAGTTACTCTTTTAGTTAATTTGCTTTATTATTATTTGGCCGACTTGGAGTTTGTTTCAAGATGATGGTTAGAAAATAAAAATCGAGTTCCTTCTTTCATTTGGCAAATATTTATTAAGTCCCCACATGGAACCACACTGTTCTAGGCACATGGGACCCATCAGTAAATAAACAAGGCAGTGCTTCTGGCCCTCAATGGGTTCACATTGCAGTGAGAGAAGAAGGATGAAAAATTGGTTACGTACAACACTCCTCGACTTACAATGGGGTTATACCCACAATAAACTATGGTAAGCTGAAAATTGTTGAGAGCCACAGCCAAAGGGGCCCCAGCAAACTTCCAGCTGCCAGCAAACTTCCAGCTGCTGGCTGATGATTGGCTCACAGCGGCCCCAGCAACATCTAGCTGATTGGCTCCTCGGCCCCAGCAACATCTAGCTGATTGGCTCCTCTGCGGTGATGCTCATTGGACTGTTTCCCTGCCCTTTCAGACCACGGAGCTGCTCATTGGGGGACTTTTTTGGCTCCGCCCACGTGACCCAGCCAATCGGCCTCAAGAGCAGGAGGATTGTGGGAGGTGGAGAGAAGCTTGTGTGGGAGAGAGAGGCTTGTGGAAAGCCGGTGGTGGCAGTTGAGGCTCTGAGGGTTTTTCCTGAGAGGCTATTTTGTTTGGCGTGTGTGGTTCTAAAAATAAAGTTAGTTTCTTTTGACAAGTGGCTCCTGATTGTGCCCAGCCAGACTGCGGCAGAAAATACTGTCAGTCAAAGGTATTTAATGCACCTAACCTACTGAACATCACAGCTCACCAGTACAGCACACTATAGATACAGACTGCTTCCACCTGCTGGGGTCCTTTAGCTGACCCGGAGCTTGTCATTATATCAAAATAGAGGATCCGATTTCATATCACTAGCCTGGGAAAAGATCAAGATTCAAATTGTAAGAACAGGTTCTACTGAGTGAGTATTGCTTTCACACAACTGTAAAGGTAAGTGGAAGCACCTTAAGTTGGGGCGTCTATCAGAAGGTGATCAGTGTTGTGCTGTGGAGAAGACTTACGCGGGGAAGGAGACAGGGTGGGATGCTTCTTATGGTGGGCAGTGAGGCGTCTCTTGGGAATGTAGTGTTTGGGTAAGAAATGGAGTGAGTTGAGGGAAGAGGACTCCTGGAAGATGGAGCAGCAAGTTCAACGGCCCCACGGGAGGGTCTTGGCTCCTGTGATAAAGGAAAATCAGAGACTGATGTCCACAGCAAAGGCACTGATGTGGAGAGGCCACATGTGGTGTCTTGGGAGGTGACAGGGAGCTGGGTCTGATAGAGTCACATCTGCCTTACAAAGACCTAGTTTTGGACGGTGATGAGGAAGATTTGGGGTGAAGAAATTGCCTGATGATTCAGGTTTTAACAGCACCACTGTGCTGCTGTACAAATGACCACACAGGAATAATGGGGCTGCAAGGGACTTGGTAGGAGGCCACGGTAAAAACCTGGGAGAGACAATGGGAGATCTGGACCAGGGAGAAAGCCATGAAGATGCTAACAAGTGTTAGATTCTGGGAAAATCCAAGAGGATGACCAGATTTGTTGATGGATTTGATATGAAAGTGGGGTGGATATGAGTTGAAGAAGACCCCAGGGTGTCTTTTCCTGGGCACATCAAGGGCAACAGGCCCTTTGCTATAATGGGGATATTGGGGAAGGATCAGGTTTGTGGACATGTTATACTGGAGATGCTTATTAGACATCCAGTGAGTGAACAAGTGGGCAGAATGCTGGCCATGAGACCTCAGACAGAATTGGGAGTCATCAGCATACAGATGAGCTTTAAAGAAATGAAATCAGGCGAGGTCACCAAATCTTTCAGTGAGAGCCGATGGGAGAAGAACCTCACATTCACTCTTCCTTTTCTTGTTGGTCTATGTTCAAAGTAACTGCAGGTTTCAATGCATAAAGTTATTCATATCATTTCCCTACAAAAACACCTACTATAATGCAATATTTAAAGTAGAAGAGTTAGCAAAAGTCACATTTTCTTTCTTCTAAGGCAATCTAATGTTTTTTTTAAAATTCAGCTCTTCTCATTCAAGAAAAAAGTTATTGATTCTGTAAAGCCCATGACTTAGATATTTTCACTTCTGCTTCTAAATGACTGGCTCCATTTCCTGTCGGGTGACATTTGATAGTAAAAGCTTAATTTAACATGAGCAATATGGAGCTCCAAATGTTCCTGCCTCAGAGAGAGAACTAGATAACTGGCTTTTGAGAAAGAAGAGATGCCTACGGGCTAGAAACCCAATCAATAGTTCACTATTTTGTTATATTTTAATCCACCAAAAGAAATAAAACACACAAGCACACAATAGCCAGTAGTTAGCACCCAGGCAGTAGACTGATTAGCTATTGATTTTTCCTCCACGTTACAGAGGAGAGAGGATTTTATTGGAAGCCCCAGTGCTATCTGTCCAAGGAAAACAAAAGTGTATATGGAGAGGGTACTTTGACCTTTTGAGCTAATGACCTAGTTTAAATATACAAAATATACTTAAATCACAAAAACTTAGATTAAACTCAAACTAACTATAAATATCAAATTTCAAGTTGATTTCCTGCCTTTTTTTTTTGGTACCAGCATTGAGCCCAGGGGCACTTAATCACTGAGGCACATCCCCAGCCAGTTTTTACTTTTTATTTTGAGACAGGGTCTTGCTACGTTGCTTAGGTCTTGCTAAATTGCTGAGGCCATCTTTGAACTTGTGTTCCTCTGGCCTCAGCTTCCCAAGCCACTGGGATTATAGGTGTGCACCACCATGCCTGTTTTTTTCCCTACTTTTTAACATATTGCAAGCATGATGAATTGAATTTACTAGATACAGATTTGAAGTCTGGTTTCACTTTGAATAAATGGCTAAAAAACTGCAAATGCTTTGGTTTTCACTGAAGGATCTGATGGGTATCATGAAATGGCAGAAAAAGTGTCTGGTTCCCAGATACAGGGTTTAGTCTGTCACGCCTGGTCTTCCAGCTGCTCAGGAATGGAGTCTTGTCCCTTGGTACACTCATATCTTATTTCTCCCAGTTCCCTAGAGGCCACAAGTAAGCTGCATTTTGGCCATAGTAGCTGGCCCAGTCTCCAGATGCTGTCCACTGACACCTGTTACCTGCTCTGTCTGCCAGAATGTGTTCTCTAAACTGACCAACAACCCTACAGGAATCATCTCAATACCAGATGCCTATCCATCAGGACAATAGTCCATGGGGACCACAGCGGTTTCCCACCAAATTTCTGTGAGGTCATCCTTCCCCAAGCATCATCCTTACCCAGATTGGCCTCTTCACCTACAAAGAGAGAGGCACTAGGAGATCTCTCTGACTTGGGCTCCCACCACCTGCCCTACAGACACATTAGGTTCCCTGAAGGCCTTTCCCCCACTGGCTTGCTCCCAGCTCTCACTCCAGGGAGCTGACTGCAGAGGCTGCCCCTTCACCTTGGATTCTCTTCCCCCTAAATATCTGCATGGCTATCTGCTTCCCTTAAGTATTGGCTCAAGAGTTACCTTCTGACCACTCCTACCTTGACCTCTCATTTAAAATTCCAACAATAAACTGGATATCCACAGGCAGAAGAATGAAACTGCACCCTTACATCACATCATCTACAAAAAAATGAACTAAAAATGGATTAAATACCTGCACAGGAGACTTGAAACAATAGAACTCACAGAAGGAAATGGGAAAATCTACACAATATCAGTCCAGGCAATGATTTTCTTCTGTATTTGACTCCAAAAGCTTAGGTAATGAAACAAAAATAGACACATGAGATTACGCCAAACTGAGCAAAGGAAAGGAAAGAAATCATATGACCTGGCTCCAAGCACCTGAAAGGTTCAGAGCAGGGCAACCCACAGACAGAAAGCAGCTTGGTGGCTGCCCGAGGTGGGGAGGAGGAGGAGGGACAGGGCTGTTTAATAGACATGGATGGCCCTTCGTGGTGGTGACAACGTTCTGGGTCTTGACAGAGGTCCTGGTTACATAACACTGGGAATTACCAAATGGCACCAAAACTATACACTTTAGAAAGATTAACTGTATGTTATGTGAATTAAAAAAGAACTCGCAACCTTACCAATCACAGCCTTATTTTCTCTGCTCCATTTCTCCCCGTGAAGCCTTCCTAAGACACTGTGTGCTTCATTTGTTGATTGGACCCCTCCTCCCTCCTGAATGCAAACTCCACAAGGTCAATACTTTCTCTTAGTCTCACTCATTGATATAAATCTCCAGCCCTAGAATTGGCCGGGAGTGAAGTAGATTATAAACACATGTTTGTTGAATAAATATGTGAGTGTATTGCCTCCTCAATGAATCAACAATCAAAGGTCCTCAGTATCTCATGGGGTGGTGATGTAGAAAAAGAAATAGGATTAGGGATTCAGTATGGTCTCATCCAAAATAAATTGAAAATAGAGAGGGGGAGCAAAGGGAGGTGTACCCCATCAGGATTCCTCAGCTCACAAGTGGGAGGCAAACACAGTCTTCTGAGGGACTCAGGATGACAGGATGAAGTGCTCAGCATGTGGTCACTTTTAATTTGCAAGGATGAAAAAGGTCAACAAAACTACCTTTCCCTCTAAATTGTAAATGATTCGTCAGTTCACTAGATTTGAAGCAGGAGACCTGGAAAACATGAGGCTGCTAATAAACGCACGGCATCTGCTCACACGTGTTACTACATGTCGGTCTCGCCACACACATCCCATAAGAAAGCATTTTCACCGAGAAACTGGGACTCTGTGAGTCAGAGAACATACCGATGAGTTCCTTATTTCTGACGTCCAAGGCCATGTTCCGGAGCGCCGTGGCCACCGCACACACCACACGGTCGTTGTCTATTCGGAGCAGCTCGACAAGAATGGGCAGGCCTTTCTCTTTTCGGACAGCAGCTCGGATATATACTGACCACTGCCAAAAGAGGGAAGGCAAAGGACATTAGGAACAGAGCTGGAAAAGCCTATAAGCAAACATTATGGGTGGGTTTCAGACGGTTGTTTACAGGAGCCAAAGGATGCATTATCAAGACCTAGTTGTAGAATAGGTTGAATGAGTTAGACATGCATTTACATGATTTAACTTTTTTTTTTTTGCCTTCAACATAAAATAAAGGTTTCAGGGTTAATCCATGAACCACACTTCGCTTCTCTTGTGACGGTATTTCTAGCAGTTGAGTTTGAAAGCCATTGGTGGGATGTGCTTAATGCTTTAAGATGTGGAGAGCTGGGACAGGCAGGGCTGGCCATTCTCAATAAGATTTTTAAAAAAAGAACCACCAAAAAATAGAGAGTGGGATGAATTGAACATGGTGAATTTGCAAAAGAGCTCTCAATTTGGAGGGGGTGTGGCTGAGAGATCAGTTGCCAAACACACAAAGGAGTAAGACCTTTGCTGAACAGTAAAGAGAGAAGGCAGGGGTGGGGTGGGAGGGGGGGTGAACATGTCATTGACAACCAAGAGTGAAAACTGGAAACTTATTTTTTTAAAAAGATCAAAATGCATTATGTTCAGGGTCATAATTCAATGTCTTATTTATAAAGTAAGACATAAAAATATGTTTTGGGGGGGTCGGCGTTCATAGGCCTTAATGGAATAGAGTTAATGCTTCAAATTGAAATGTATGGGCAGTATCAGAGAAGTAAAGCATTCAGATTTAGATTCAAGATTTAGATTCAAAAGCTTTGCATACATGTGCATACATGCTTTACATTCTTCTGTAGTGTCCCAGAGAAGAGGGTGCAATAAATAATTGACACGTAAGGGTTGGATCTGTTGCAATTTCATTTCTGAGCTGAGAAAACTGCATTCACGGAATGAGGTTTTGGATTCTGAGGGAGTCCTCCTGGGGACCAGTCCTCCCCACCCCTCCCCCACGGGCCCTCTCCACCCTCCTTCCCCCATAAAGGGCAGGCACCCCAGAGCTGGCTCTCACCTGTGGCAGGCAGGGAGCCCCCTCTGGCAGTGAACGTAGGGCATACGCCATGCCTGCCACATCCTCAGCCCAGCCCTGCATGAAATATGAGATTAAAAAAACAAACAACTTCATCCTGTCCTAAGTTAGAAGTCACATTCACATAGTTTCTTATCACCATCATCCAATAATGCACGCTTTTCTCCTGCCCCCTTCTGTCCTTGAGCTCAGGAAGCCTGAGGGGTGGAAAGCAGATAAAACCCACTGAGACGTCTCTTGGTTGCAGGAAACTACTTTATAGCCCCACTCTTAGAGAGCAAAGAGATGGACAGCCAGGAATCTGAGATGCTGAAGAGCATAGAGGTTTGAAGCTGCTTGTTAGGATTTAGACGTCTGGCCTGACATCCTTCCTGGGGAGGAGGATCCTTCCCCCGGTACCAAGGCCCATGCATTGGCGCATTGGACCCACATGCTGGAAAATGACTCCTTTGGACACATGTGTTTCCCTACCACTAAAGTCCTGGGCCTCCAGCACCCAGCCCAGAACAGGCCACAAGCCTGAGCTTAGGCAGCCCACTCCTGGTTGGGCTCAAACCTAAAACCATGGAGGGAAGCTAGAAAAAGGAAGGAACAGAATGTCAGTCGGAGTGTAGTGTCAACATGGACATACTGCAAGGTGAACAGCAACAGTAAACCCTAACACTGGGGAGAATTCTTGACCTTCTGGGGGACTGCAGGGATACTCCTGGTGACTTAGGCAGGCTGAAGCAGGAGCCCTAGCAGGCCCTCCTCCCCAGTACCACTTCTTTCCAGGCCCCATGCCTCCTGTTTATGCATTTGCCATCTCCAGGCCTCAGGGAGGTCAGCATTAACATTTATAGAAGAAGAGATTTATATACAAAGATGTTAAATAATAGCCACAGGAGTCACCCGTGAAGCTGAGCCTGGCTCCTGTTTCTCCAGATCTGCTGACATTGTTCCCCTTGCCATCATTTCCTTCCTTCTTGCCTAAGTCTTGATGCTAGGTCTTTCAGACACTGCCCTTTCCTCATCTATCCTCCCACATAGGCAGGGCGACTAGCCATATCTGAAATGAGCCAAGAAGGAACAGTCATGGCTTTGACCTTTTTGGAAATCTCCCCAGAGGTTGGATGGAAAGATGATTTGGTGTTTGGAAAGTAATGAGAGTCCTTCAGCTCTGATAGGAACAGATCTGAGAGTAACAGCAATGGACGAATGGCCATGTAGTGCCCCAGTGGGTATGAGTCGGCCATTTTTGATATGAGAAAATGGTCAACAGTAATATGTTCTTCCTATGTGAATAGGATAACCAGACAATGGATCTGACACTCAAATTATTAATAAATTTTATTTTGCAAATTTAAGTCATCTTGGTATTTGTATATGTATGGATGATTTCTAGTATCACCACAGTAGATGGTAACTCAGAATAAATTACTTAAATTGCATTCAAAAGATGTTGCAAGTTTGTAAGGCTCTTTTACACATTCAAAGATATGTGCTTGCAATGCTCTGTAAAGCATCAGCCTACCAGTTCTGACGTAGGTCATGTGTAATCCACGTGTCGGTCAGTGAGAAGTTAAAAGAGGGGATGACCTACTATAGATACAGCTGTTTAGAAAATGCCATGCTATAGATACAGCTGTTTAGAAAATGCCATGCTATAGATACAGCTGTTTAGGAAATGGAGAATGCTTCACAGGTGCAAGCAGCATAGAAATGCCAGGCTAACAAGGGTTCTTCCTAAACAGAGGTACACTGCCTCAGGAGCAGAGCAGACCCTGCAGTGGCTAGAAGAGTGTATGGGTTGCCAAGAGTTTTAATCAAAACTACAGTAGAAGTAGTAACACTGTCATAAAAGTGAAGACACAGAGAGAAGGGTACATAACTCACGGCAGTTAAGATAGGAATCTTAGGAATGAACTCTGCCACTGTGCTGCAGACTGAGGGCAGCAGGCGCTGAGCAGATGGTACAGAGGAAAGACGTGCTGTGGCCGCGTCTTGCTCCTTGCTCATGCCTCTTCCTTGGGAGAAGCGTGAGCTGCAGAATGGGCCAGCACAAGTGCTTAGTGTGTGGGGCTGAAGGGCACAGGTCCAAGTAGAAGATGGGGCACCTTTGAAAGGCGATTAAAACAGGTGGAGACAATTTGCCCTCTCCTTGCAGTTCACACAGAGCCTCTAGGTTGGGAGAAGGAAGACAGAGTTTGGGGAGAGAACAAGAGCTGCAACATCATTGGTGGGGGTTGCCACCTGAACTCTGACATGTCCCCAGACCACACCTGCTGCTGCTGAACCCCCCTTTGAGGACGGTAGTGCAGACTCAGGAGAACTGTGCTGCTTCTTCTTGGACCATAGCAGTGGCTGGAGGAGGTCAAGCAAAGTCTCTGCTCTCATTCCGGAGTGGGGGCCACAGGGTAGGGATGGCGACATGGCTTGTGGGTCTGGAGAATGCTCCTGTGGTGCAAGTGTGGCAAAGGATAGCCCCTGAGGGTTTCTGTGGCTTAAATGGACAAGGTGTATCGGTCAATGGAGAATGGGCTAGGCACAAGAGCTGTAAAGAGGTCACTTGGTCAAGAAGGAGGCCGCACATAGGAGTGTGGGCATGGAGAGGACACGGCCGCACATCAGGGGAGCTGAGCAGCAAGGAGGAGGGTATGGGCCAGAGATGGCCCAGTCACCAATCGGCACATCTGTGTGGGTCCTGGACAAGAGACTGCACAGGGCAGAGGTGCTTCCAGACTGAGAAATGGGACCAATTCAGGATCCAGTTCCCATTTCCTCTGCAGGATGTGCCTCTAAGATCCCCAAATTCAGCTTCAACTGCTGAGGGTAACGATAGGAGGAGGGCTGACAGTGGGAAGGTAGCCACGCTTTAACCCTGAAGGGACCACAAAACAGCTGGTTTGGTTGAGTTCACCTAGAAAAGTCTGTTTGATTCTTCTTTCCATTCTCCATCCCACACCCCCCAGTTTTTTTTTTCTTCCATCAGTTAAAACAAGGGCTCAGAGGTGAACCTGAAGTGAATTGTGTAAAACAAAGTTTACTCGCACATGAAACTGTGCTGAATAAATTCCTCACTGCATGTACTGGGAGGGTTTGGTGATAATGTGAAGTCAATGTTTTTAACCCTTTAAGCCCAGGCTGCTTCTCTGGAATGTGGATTTTGAGGAGCTTGATTTTTTTTTTTTTTTTTTCTTGTCTCCTGATATAGCTTTTTCATTATCATTTATTTCTTTTTTATGAATGATGTGTATGTGTATGTTTTTTTTTTTTAAATTTTTTTTTATTGGTTGTTCAAAACATTATAAAGCTCTTCACATATCATATTTCATACATTAGATTCAAGTTGGTTATGAACTCCCAATTTTACCCCAAATACAGATTGCAGAATCACATCGGTTACACATCCACATTTTTACATAATGCCCTATTAGTAACTGTTGTATTCTGCTACCTTTCCTATCCTCTACCATCCCCCCTCCCTCCCCTCCCATCTTCTCTCTCTACCCCATCCACTGTAATTCATATCTCAAGGAGCTTGATTTTGAAAAATTGCATCTTGTCTCTAAACACAACTGATAGCTATAATTTTTCTAAAAATCTCTCTTCTGCTTAAGATGAGGCAATTCTGTTTAAGCTGATTATGTCCCTAAAAGGAGATTAACATTGTAATTTAGCTTTTCCCTCTTTAAATCCCAACAATTTACTAAGTAACTAAAGATAACGCTCTCCTTTAAGTACAAAATAGTCTGTTCTGAGGGTGAACCCATTATATTGCTAAAATTCTGAATTTGTTGATTAATTTTCTATTCTTCAAGAGTACTCTGGCTTTAGAAGTATCTGAAATTAAACTCTTTCCTGTTAAATAAGCATTTTCCCACTGACTTTATATTAAAGTAGTCATTTCCCCACTTTTTCTTCTTCCCTCCATCCATCCCTCTGTCTCCTTCCCTCTCTTTCTTTATCTCTGTCCTTCCTTTTCCCCCCCTCCTTAGTTTCTTTTTTTGTGGTAACGGGGTTGAACCTAGGACCTCATACTTGTCAAGCACACCCTCAATCACTGAGCTACATCCCCATCCTTGTTTTTGAAACCTATTTTACTCTGAGATAGTCTTGCTAAGTAGCCCAGGCTGGTCTTCAACTTTTGATCCTCCTGCCTCAGCCTCCTGAGTGGCTGGGATTACAGGTGTGCACACTGTGCCCAGCGCCCCACTTTTTCTTCTGACATGGTAAAGAAAGGTCACGTTTGAGAACGTAACTCCTCCAAATATAATTTAATTTTTCAGAAGCACTTGAGCATCTTGTGGTATCTCAGGGTCATATGTATTCAAAGTCCCATTCTATACAATGAGAAATACATATAATGAGTTTGGTATAGATGACTGCGGATTATGAAATATGCTTCTGAATTGATTTACAATACCACGTTATTCATCATGGTACCTTGCTCTCATGATAAGAGGGCAGAAAGCATTTCCCCAAAATTATTTATTCAGCCTTATTTCACTGGAAGTTTACTATGAAAGCAATGTACTAAATATTCAGAAACCATGTTTTTTTTCCCCTGCATGATTCACATTGTTTTGTTTTATTATTATAATCTGAATTACCAAGGTTTTGAGGTTGAAAAAGAACTGTGTTTGGTGGCTGCTCTAGGATTTGTGGAGAAACTGGGCCCTTCTCACGATGGATTTCTCTACAGTGAATGTGGGACGTGGGTGTCGGCTCTTTAAATTCAGTGCTATCCTTTAGGATTATATAGCTTTCTTTTCAAAATTCTAAAATCTATTTTTTAAAGTGGTATCTCTAATGGGGAGGACTAATGAAGGATTTCCTTATGTTTGCAAAGCAATAAATCAATTAATACATCAAATCTTGGTTAAGTCAATGGTAGTTACAGTATGTTTAAAGTGTTTTTCCTTTGTCTGACTATATTATTTAAATGTGAATCAGATTAGTGCAAATACTGAATTTTATTGCATGTATTCATGCTGAAATTATAAATTTCCAGCCAATAGGGTTTCCTGGGGGGGGGGAAGCATTTTGATGTGCTTTCACAGTAAGAACAGATAAAG